TTATTTGCCGTATCCTCCTGTCCCCCCCTCCTCTCTCTCTCTCTCTCCCCCCATCCGCTTCTCTTTCATCCGTTATTCCAGTTATGCGCACGAATTTCACGAGTAGCGCACTGCGACTAGCGGTATTACGGGCTGCATCATTTATTCAGCAAACAGTCAGCGCTGGACGCGCGTCTGGCTGCGGAGAGATTTACCATGCAAAACAATCGAGTGCAGTTTTATAACGCCGCGCGGCGCGCATCCCCGCGAAGGAAGATTTTTCAATCTCGATACCCGATTGCGTATTCGCAGAATCTCGCAGGTCACTCAAACTGCTTATTATGTCTCACTTGTATAGTTGAGCTGCGCGAGAATCGCTCGTGCCCTGCCAGACGAGGGAGTGCACGCCGAGCACCCGCGGTTGGCGGCGGCCGACCGCGGAAATTTCTCAGCAAGCCGCGATCGGGATCCGCCCGCTTCGCGCGTGTAATTCACATGGCATGCGCTATCAGAAGTGATTTTGCTCGTTACACGCCGGCCAAGTCCCCGGCAAACGGTGGACAAACGGCTCGGGCGATCTCGGCGCGGCGTGCATATCGGATTGCATGCTCTCGGATGCGTGTATATCGCCCCCGCAAACGGCGGGATTAAAGTCGCGTATCGACCGGAGGGGAAGAGAGAGAGGGGGGGGGAGGGACGGCCGCGAGACGAGTAAGAAATCGAGCGGAGTAGCAGTCGTCCGGCTGGTCCGGATGCCCGCGGCTGGTCTGGTTCTAAGATTACGATCATAACGAAAAAGCTTCTCGCTCCTATTGGATGCCAGTCTTTCTCTCTTTCGCTCCTCCGCTCTCTCTCTCTCCCCGCCGCCGCCGTCCCTCCCGCGACCTCCTCCGCCGTCGCTCTATCGGCCCTCTTCTCCTTCGAGGCGTATGAGAACGTCCGGCGACGCGGCCGCACCGCCGTACAGCATTGCGCGCGTTGCGGCATGCATTATGGAACGAGCGAGCAACGATTCCGCCGGAAAAATTGCGGACACGCGAGACGGACGCGATCTGCAGTCCGACTATCTCCTCTCCGCCTTATCCATCCACGTGGAGCAGTGTTTCCCAATTTGTTACACGGCGACTGAATTCCTCGGGATACGTCACAGGGCTCGTAATTGCGTCGACTTCAAAGGACGGCCGGCAATTTTTTTTTTCTCATCCTCTAATGCCGCTTCCCGCGACTCTTGCACGCATCAGCTTTCATCAGTCCGCATGCATTACGTATCTGTGCTCGATCCGCGTGTATATTGCGAGAAAACGATAAAGCCGCCCAATCAAGTCGCAATAACTGACCGCCTGCCAAATTCGTATACCCGCGACATTGTCGACTCCGTATTTTATCTCGCTTTTGTACAACGATGCATACTCGACTTTAGATCGCCATACGTTTCCTTTCAGACACCGCGTCGTTCAAGTTTCGTAAAAAGGAAACGATATCAGAGCATCCGTATACAAGCTACAGGAAACGATGGAAATAGTAAAAATTGAATAAATAAAATGATACGAGACTATAGATTAAATTTTTTTCAGTTTTATTTTATTCGCCGTCCCGGGGAACACCATTTGGGAAACACTGACATAAAGATACCTACGTAGATACCGATCTATGCGTTACCCACCTAACCACTCTCGGTCGACCCTCGCGATACTCGTCGTGGAAGATTGCTTTCCTATATCCCGTCCTCCCCCGGTTACGACTGCTTTCCATTTTGTAAGAAACGTCGGGAGGTCTCTATAATGTAAACGTGATGTGCCCAGCGCTACCAATCACGATCGCATAAATATAAGCAGTCCATTTGTTGCAAAAGCGGATCCGCGTTCTTTGAAATGAGGACGAGCGAGAAATCGTGTCTTTCCTTATTAGAAATTTAAATATCGCGGATGCCACGGAATATTCAAATAATTAAGTTTACGTCTCAAGCTTTTATTATGTTAACTACGCGCGGTCCGTTAGTCAAATATTTTTTATAGTAATCGACAAAATATTAATTAAGGCGCGATAAAGCTGTCAGCATTGACCGGCGGTATACAATTTACATAATTATCAGTGTAAGTGTTTAATTATGTAACCTGGCATTTTTAATAATACAGAAAATTGATTGCGAAAAATATTGCCTCAGCCAGGGTTTGAACCTGGACCTCCTACACTCTAGGCGGGCGTCTCGCCAATTCGACCACCGAGGCATATGATAACACTTGTCGCAATAACAGTATAAAGATGTCGTCTACGTGTCTATAATATTTCGACTTTTTTTTGGCGAGACGTCCACCTAGAGGTCCAATAAATTGTCTGTATATTATTAAAAATGCCAGGTATGGTCAAGAAAACACTGACGTTATTAATTATCGCTTGAGACATTGAAGAATTCTTATTAGTTACATAATTATGATGCAATTGTCAATTAGACTGCTATCTATTTTATGATTTCAGCAATGTGTGATATTATATAATTATTACGAGAATTATAAGAGCGCGAATTCATCGCGTTTCTTTTATACCGTCGCTGGAACAGCTTTATCACAATATTCTTTGACTTCATAAAAATCTATCTGGTATAACGCGTTATAATCCCGCTGAGAAATTTAATAACGCCAGCATTACACGCTCCCACCGAAATAAAAATGGACAGGGGGGGGGAGCATTTGCGGTGTTCCTTTGACGCCTAACATGCAACGAAAAGCCGAGCGCAAAGTAGCTGCTGATAAATCTATGGAGGGGGATAACTGAGGAATAATGGCGGAGCGAAATGAATGTTTCGCGGCGTGGTCGGTAAAAATACGGTAAAAAAGCCTGTGCGACGCGACAAGCGGCGCTCTCCCCTTTCTCAGTTGATTCAGTCCGCTCGCACGAAAGAGATACGACGGGAAAGAGAGCGAGGGGGGAAAAAAAGAAGATGAAGAAGAAACGACGCACCTATCCCCTGGCCATACAGTAAAGAAGCAGACCAGAAACTGTCAACGGCTGCGTAACGCTGATGAAAGGGTGGATAGCGTGTAATCCCCGTCGCGTCCGGTCTCTCCGAGAGAGGACCCGCGTCCCCAAATGCGCGACTAACGACGTTTTAAATTAAAAGAGGAGAAAAAAAACGCGGTCGAAAATAACGCCGCGGCTTGGCACAGAATTCTCCTGGCCGTTCACGTGGAAATCGCGCGAACTAGATTACGCCCGGCCCGGAGGAGCTTTTCTCCCTTTGGCGTGCCATAAGCGCGTCGGCGTCCCTTTGAATGACGCCTTGTTATTCAAAGAACCATCACCGCCGGCACTCACGTCGCACATGCACACAGTATTAACTCCGAACTATTACGGCGGCGTTGGATCTAACCGCAGTGCGGACAGCTCATGATATATCCGGGGGAAGTTCGCGGATCTCGGCCTCGCAATCGCGGAATTAAACGGCGAGGCCGAAGCTACGTGATCGTCAGCGTTTCTTTTATTGAGTTCAGCGAAGATGATACGGATCGCGTTATCTACATCGATCTGATCTCGAGCGAGATCATCGCAACATAATTGGAAAATGATGGCTATTCATTTTGTTATTTGTAACATTGCATTTTCTCATTCGTCAAAATACCACGCGATTTCTTCACTTTCAACGAAAGAATGTGAATCGCCAGTGGATAATTAACAGTAAAAAGAATTGTTAGACGACATTAGGCTGGCGGATGGTTTATTAGTTTCATTCCGACGTTTCGACCATACGGGTTGTGGTCCTTTTCAAGGAATTTCATAATAAATTACAAACGGAGGGTTGGCATCAATCTCTGGGCGTCACTCGGAGAATTCTTCACTTTCTATGATCAAAGATTGAATGTGCTCTGTATGGAACGTACATATTAAATATGTTCATATTTTAAAGAGAGAGAAAGAGAACAGGAGAAGAGAGCCACTGTGTTAAATACAGTCTGATTATCCGAACGGAGACCACGTTTATTTTATAGCCGCGCAGATTCTCTTCGTCGCGACGAAGATGAACAGCATCGGGATGATGAGCACGTTATATGGGAACCACATTTTCACGGAAAAATTACATAAGGCAGTCGCCTCCGCGGGCGAGTCCTCGATGTACCGAGTGTCATGCAAAATGAGGAGAACGCGTAATGACAGGCTGCCGGCTTTAGTGGGCATGATTGATAACTATCCGATGCGCCGATCGAAACGGGAGAGCCATTACTTATCTCCCGAATGACTACCATTAAGCGCGTTCCATCGCCGATGTTGGCGTGCCAGGGCGGACTTTACAATATTCAAAGAGGGAACTCCACTCGATCAGTAGCACGGAAATAATTATTCTCGATTACTCTCGCCCCTTTTTCTCCCCCCCCCCCCCTCCCCCCGGCACTTTGCGTACACAAGCGGGATGTCGGCGTGGTTGATTTAAATATCAGTGAGCTTTAATGTGAATGCTCTACGCGGTAACTATTTCCATTTGCACCTCTTTGTGTGTCCAAACGATAGGAATCAACAGTACAGCAGTGTATCGACGTTCCTTTATTATAAAGTTTAATAATAAATTGCGATAAATGATAAATTTCGCGTCGGCGAGTCTCGTTTAAAAGATTATTTAACAGTGGCGAGTCTTTTATCGATTATTTTACGAAAGTGTAAATTTATGCGTAAAATAATATGAACGAGATCACTTGAATAAAACCATATCGTCTACATATTTCAAACGACTTTCGATCCGACGGAGATTAAATTTTCGTCACTACATTAAATCAATACGTTCAATGTTGAAGCTCCGAGAGCTGTAAGAAACGGCGGTTTTTGTACGATTTCCCATCAGGGATACCGGATACCTTTTTAGACACATGTAACGTGGATCATTATTTTTCCATGTCGCAAATACATTCGTTCGCAATGATGATGCGCAAGTGCACATCTGTACTTGAACACAGTCGGACGAGATGGCCAGGGAAGATTTGCTGGTGACCGCAAGAAATCAGATGTTACCCGATACCGTGTAAAAAGGTACTCACCTGAAGGTGGACTTGACCGTTGTTATCGACCCATCCGATGACCATGTCAGCTCCTGCTCCCGCGCCGCCGTCGACTTTCTCGACCTTCTCGACCTTCTCAACCTTCGTGAAACCGAGCCCGACGTAGCCGAGGGTCTTCACTTGGATCTCGAACGTAACGTCCTTCTCATTGGGCGTCCAGAGCACCAAGAAATTGTTATCCAGGACAGCACTGTGCTTCCACTCGACGGAGACGACACCGCTGACGAGCAGGAGGAGAAACGAGCCGACCGCAGTCTTCATCTTTCCGTGCGGTGCTGCTCAAAACATCTGAAACAGGAGTGACGCATACCTGAGGCGACTGTCTTATTTACGGAGGTAATTTATGCTACTTAGAGATGTAATCCGCTTAATGGATAAGGGACCGAGGAATAACGTTTATTCACATAATGTATCCCGCATATTACGAGGCACGATACTCCGAGTTTCTCCAAACGCGGAATTTCATAGAAAATTAAACGATTACAAATGACGTTCACTGCATCATTAATAATAACGCAAACTGAAATTGTGAAATATGATTTGCCGTTCGATAAAAATGACTTACTACTCGTTTAACGCTTTTACGTTGATGATGAAAAATTTAATAAATATTCGCAGAATATTGCTATAATTTTGCACCTTTAAACGCTCTCCGGAAATTGCGCGGTAATTGCAATAAAATGCTAAATGTAGAAGAAACAATGTACGTTCCAGTTGGTCGCATTTTTAAAGACAACAAAATCGTGGAGCTCTCAAACGGGAGTAATATTGAACATGCCGTCGATATTTTTCTTCGATATTGCGATGATCGTGTGTTCCGTATCACCGTTGTTGGCCGTTACGCAGCGGACGGTTTTCAAGATATCCGCCGTGTTTAAATCGCAAATGATCGTGTGCACGCCATGTGTGTACTTGTGCATGCGCGTCTTCCGCGGCGCTTGCTTTCCCACATAATTCGCACGATAGTCGTACGCATCGTATTTTATCGTCCTTAAGCGCTAGCAGTGCCAGTGGCCATTTACGCTTGCGCTCCACTTGAAATCGCTTCAACCTCTATACGGTCGACTTGGTTCTTTTTCACGAAAAAATACTGTGCATCGCGCCAAACAGGAAAATGCGATCGCTAAAATGAATCTTGTACAAAAGTATCAGCTGCCCCAAGTACTTTGTACAAAGGAAATTTCTGTTTAAGTGTAAATTTCATTGCATGTGTATACGATCTTAATTATTCAAGTATAAGAGGAGATCCAGATTGCTAAGCAGACTTGTCCAAACTAACTTTAATAATCACAGCGAGAGGAATTCGACTGGTTGCGACCGCTCAACGTGGATCGTCGAAACAAAGCTTACACATTTACATACGTAGTAGAGGAAAGTCCCCTATTACGAGATAAATTCCTAATATAAGATAGCGTGGCTGCTACTAAATTAATAGGCATCATCTGTTGGTTTTATCGTGAATTTATTGCCCCTGGAATGAAATCTGTTTAGTAGAAAATTCATTGTTAGATCGTGTAATCGTCGCAAAAAAAGATTTGTGATTGAATTTCGATGTTGGAAACCTGCTGTCTTATATTAGAAACCTAATAATGAGAACTTTCCTCTATATATGTACTCTACATTCATCAAGATCTTTACAGTCAGCAAAGTTCAAGATTACAATATATAACATATATGTATATGTACGATGTGTATAAAAGAACATATGATACTATTTCATAATCTAACACAATATTGTCATTGTTCGACTAATCTTTCAGTGCACGAAGCGAAATATTGTAATCATTGTGTACGAATTTCGCTTCAGGAGTGCGAAATGACCAAGGTAAATCTCGTAAATCTTTATGGAGAATTTTCGTGAGCGAAGAGCGTAGGTGTTAGAAGAAAATTAAAAAGAAGGGCCGTATCAAGAATATTACGACTCGCTTCAGCCGTCAACGGGGCAATGCTTATATCCATAGCGTGGAAACATATCCGACGAGTGAACTGACTGCCCCGTTTTCCCAAGCAGAAATACTCATAAATAACGATCAACGTCACGATTAATTTATCCTCACGCCGGCGCGGTGGTCGCTATAGCATTTTCAAGAATCCAACAGGGCGGGCTTAATGGACCGCCATTCAACGAAGACATTACCGCCGATTCCGCGGTAAAAATTGCTATTGACCTCTTTATCGGCGATAAAGCTTTGTTTCTTCGGGCATAACGACGGACACGAGGTGGAGCAACGAAGCTTCGAGGGGAAACGCGAGAAAATTAAGTTTCCGGCGGAATGAATCCGCGAACAAAGAGAATTTCTCGTTTTACCGTGCGCGTGTCTCGAAAAAGGGATGGGCCGGATTGAGGTCGGCCGGGATAGCCGCGCTACCGTTTATTTTGCATTTTCAGCAATCAGGCACGTCCCGCAGGGGGAGAGGAAAAAAAGTCAATTTGTACTTGCGGAGTAAGCGCTTCGCGCCGAGCACGGCACGAGTTAAGGGCGAGATTGCTGTAGAGGCAGCAACTACGAGCGCACACCACATCCTCGAGATCGCAGGTGTGGCTAAAATACGCACGCCGGAAATTTTTTGCGGGGAAATTTATTCGATTGAAAATATCGGAGAGAAACGCTATATTCGAACGTTTCAATAAATTGATAAAAACGGGAGATATTGGCGCATTGTTTGCGCGGATTGTGCAATACAGTTTCTGCCAGGCGACTAGTATTACTAATAAATTCCCGAATTGTTGAAATATATTTTAACAATGAATTTATTGGGACCAAAATTCGACGGCAGATTCAGTAAAAGTTCGGCAGTGCGTAATTATCGCGGCGAACGATCGAAATGATCATCTCGGATTAAAATGTAAACGGGGGGCGGGGCCCCGGCGATAAAGCCGAGGAGAATCCAAGTTCGCGCGGAATCGGTTTTTCTTCAAGCGCTACCGCAAACGCCCTGTTAATGTTTGTTACACAGCTTGTAGCTCACGCTGTACAACGCTTTTTCAACGCTTTTTTTGCGTGGCGACCGCGAGAGAGCGGAGATGAGCGAGCGCTGGTGCGCGCTTCATCGAGATCATCGATCAACCGGAGTGCGGCGATGAAAATACAGCATGCCGATCGCGTGCACCTGCGTATCGCGACACGCACGTGCGACCTGTGGGGCACGGGTGGTAAAGGGAGGGGAGCGGAGGTGGGCCGAACCACCCTCCCTCCGCCCCGACCATGGATCGACCGCGGATCTGCAAACGATCGTTTCAATTAACGGCGACAATGGCGCGGCGCATCGGCCGATGCGCCGCAAATAGTAAGCCAATCCGACGTGTACACGCGCGGAAATCATCGACGAGTTCGGCGCCAAACAGCAGCCGACGAACTGGTTTAATCCCTCGCGATCGCGCGGTCCGAACTGATGTTTACCGTGGCGGATATTTGCGACGTAATTGTGCAATGAGCTCAACAGGATTGCATTTTGCGCAAATGAATCTGCGCTACAAACAACATGGTTGCTCGATAATAAATATTTTTTAATCCTAATTTTTTTTATCACTCGCGACATATCGTAACCAGAACGCGCAATGAGTTGATAAAATGTGCCTCGCCTAAGGCCTGGTTTTTCCAACGTCGCCTAACAACAACCTAGATCCAACTTACCCTTTGTCTCTTTCTAACTATCCCCATAGGAAGAGAGCGAGTTGAACTAAGGTCAAAGTTGAGCAACGTTGGAAAAATCGGGCCTAGCAAGTGGATTCGAGACAATCTGTCGCTAACGACGATCATTTTTCCTGACGATTAAATTTTAGAAAGACAGCTCAAAAAATAGCAATGATGAAATAACGTTCGCGATGTTTATGGTTTGAAAAAAAAAGACGCAGCGTTCGAATTAGAAATCATGTGATTTAACAGGGGTCAAGGTGCGCGGCACTGCCGACAGCGTGCATCGCAATCGGCTTGATTTACGGTACTGGCGCAGTAACCGCGAAATTAAAACCGATCGATTCAATCAGCAATAACGGAATATGCGCGAGATACGCGTATCAGGAGCACGACGTTACGCGGAAATAATTGGACGGTTCGAACTTGCATACAAAGGAGAAGCGCCGGCTAATTCTGCCGATTAACAAACCCGATGTATCGGCAATCGGATGCGTAACACGAGCTTACGCGAATTCCAACTAAGCGACATGAATTAAACATTTCATCGCCGTTACAATTCGCTAATTTTAAGGGCAAGCCAGCGGATGACTTAGTTGGAAATTATGTTCATCAAGTTTTAGGAGGAAATCGGCTTGAAATCGGTAACGGATCAATTAATTTCACGAAAGTTCAAATAAAATTTATTTGCACCGCTATCCGCAGCGCGGAAAAAACCGCGAATCTTTGTGTAATAATTTTGAGGACACTTGACTTTTTAATTGCCTGGATAATTATATTATTTTAATGGATATTATTAACTATATTGTAAGCCTGCATCATAATTGCATATTATATTCGTAATATTCTGCCTGATATTATAGAAAATATTCAGAAATAAATTTCAAATAAGAATTAAAAATTAAAATGTTATTACAGATATACAACTATATACGTGTGCAATTTAATTACCCAATTATTAACCATCAAATGTTATTAACTGATATTAAAAAATTGAATTAAAATTAATTTTTATTGCAATAGAATTAGGGTAAAAACTGTTTTTCAATATCAGCTTCGCTGTTACCTCAATAACCGCCAGTTAAGAAAATGTCGCTGCAGAATAGCTCGCGTTTATTTTCATCACACAACACCGTAAATCTACGGCATGGCCCATTGTTGTAGTACAAGTACATTATTCTCTATTGTAAGTTTTAATCGTCAAGCACTATATTGATTAATTAAAAAAATTTAATTAAAATTTGTTATTAGACTAAAGTTGTTCTTAAAATCTGTTTTTATTGGAACAGCTAATACAATTATGGGAAAAATTGTTTTTCAACAAAAGTTTCGCTGCTGCTCCATCAACCGCCAGTCAAGTGTTGCTGCAGATTAGCTCGCGTTCATTTCCACCATGGAGCACCATAAATCTACAGCGCGGCACATTGTCGTCGCGAAACTTCTCCTCTGTTTAATCCTCTTTGGTTCATCCAAGGATTTGTCGGCCGCCGTCAAACGATCGCCGGCCCGAAAACAATCGACGCAATTAACAGTAGCGGCGCGTGCGACGAAACGTCCCGTCGAGGTGATGCATCGGTCGCAGCAGCTGCCCGGGCCGCTTCAGCGCACCGGAGAAATGTCGACTCAAATTGAGAGGACACAACGGAGGCGAAT